AAATGTTATTTCCAGCAATGTAACTGCGTTTGGGACTGCCGAGTGCCATAGCGTGTGGTTATATTTATCATTTATCCTTTAATAGTTAAATAAACGATGTTGATGATTTTGTGATACTTGCTCATGCTGATGATATAAAAAAGTATTAGTGACTGTGAATGTCATTTGGTGATTTGGTGATTAGTGATCCATCAACTAACCAAAACTAACCAACCATCGAACAAACTATGGTAATTTTTGTCCTTGGTCTCGTAGTTTTGGAGAGGCTGATAAACTGCCGACAGGCATTGATGTTTATTTCATATTATATGGTCCGGATGTAAATTATTAATATTGCTATGCTTTTTTCACACTTCTTGTAAGTATGTAATATTATATCTACACATTGAACCTTATTAACATTTATAATGGAGTATTTTACAAAGGTTTGTTCAATAAACTCAACCATACTGTTTGATGATGTGCATCCTCCTTAATGGAATCTGTTTTCTCTGTTCTTTTATATTCTTATCAATTTTGGGATAAACGTTTTATGTTCTTTTTTTTTTACTAGGAGGTGTTTCTGTTAGAATTAACTATCCAACTTGCCATCGGTTATTTGAAATAAATTTTTTTGCCGACTCTTCGTGGAAAAACTGACGGTGAACTTTAGCGTCGCTCAAGGATTTTTACTTTTACCGTCGTGTCGATTGCAAATTCCTATACAAAAGAGCATTTAATTATAAACTGCTTTCACGTGGAAAACACGCGTATTTATACTTAAGTGCCGTATGCGTTATTGGGAAAAACTGAGTAAAAATTATTGTCCTAGTTATTCTAGATAATGGAGACACCAATTTGAAAAGCTCTGTATTACTATCTATACCAAGGATGCTGAGATATTGTAGCGTTATCGCCACTTTATCTATTCCTCTAAAAATTAGAATTCTTATACCTTACAAGGAAATTAAATTTAGAAATGACAAATTATTTCGCCATGTTTTAAAAGTCTAAACATTTGCTCTTTCAAACAGACTTAAAAAATTACCATTGACTTTGTGATGAACTGGAAGAACTTAGTGGTAGAAGTTAATTCATACCTTTTCAAAAGTATTTTCAACTCCTTTCTGCTTAGTCCTTGTAGTAATTATTTCTGCATTATTTTTTTTTTTAATTTGTATTGCATATAATTTCTTAAGTACGTGACTACATCGGGTGATTTTGTAAGTTGTTTTAAGTATAGATAAACATACATAAGGAAATGCTCCGTTTATCTAAATATACAGGGTATCAAACATTTTCAACTTTTAAATTCGGATTAGGTAAAACTAAAAATATTTTTTTCGATTTTTTGTAGCATCTTGCTTCATTTGCGATATAAAGAACACCAAATAGAACAAAGTCCTTCTTCTTTTCTTCTCTGCTCTTTTATTGCTTGACTTTTATTTTTTTTATTTTCTTGTTTCATTCTTAAATGTTATTAAAATTCATAATTGTGCGGTCGCAACACCAAAACAATTAAAAATTATGCAATGTGAAATAATCAAAAAGGTCTGATAGCAATCGTAAAAATTAAAACGTAAAGGTAGCGAGTATAGCAATATAGAAAGCAGGAAGAATAAAAAACCTACACCTTGAATTATCAAATGGTTCTCTGGGAGAAAGAAAAACAAGCAAAATAGATTATTTTGTTCTGAGTTGAAGTAATTGTCTGTTACGTTATGGTTTTATTATGGAAAAAATTAATAATAATGGCTATAAAATTCATATGCAAAATGTCTGACGCCTGTCCTGAAACAACCGAACGCATTTGACATTCCGAATTTCAATTGTGCGTTCGTTGTTGAGCGGCGTTAAGCAAAACAGACGTAGGTGCATTACAAAACAATTGACAATTTAATAATAACCTTAAGATTTTTAAGCACGTGACACTAATACGCGCGCGCGTTCTACCCAGCAATTTATTTGCCAAGAGGGTTTCGTACAGGCGCATAATGGCAAAGTTTAAACAGAAGCCAAATAATAATAATGAAACGTGATTGTTTGACTTTTACTTTCGCGTCTAACGAACATCTGAATAGTGACGATCCTCGCCATTTTAATCGAGATTCTATAGATTGAATGTGCAAATATCAGCAACTGTTACGATCATTTGCGTGCCAGTTGAAAGTGGACCTGATTTTGCGCAAACTTTGTCTTGTGTTTATCACCTTGTTGTTTATTTTGCTTTTTTTTATTTATTTTGTGTAAGTATTAAACGATTTGAAAGCTGAACTATAACCAATTTTATAAACTATGGTCTTCATGAAACGATCTTTTGGTTGGGGATAAATGTGTTTCTTTTATACATCATTAAAATAGTTGCGAATGCCATGGGGATGGTTGGTATGGTGTGCAATATGACTAAAGATTTTTTGTCAGTTACTGCTGGTCTTAGATTTCATCAATCCTCGCCTGAAAACGTTACTTGTTTCTACCGGGCTTACCAAGCCAAGTTACAGTTTTATACTGTGCAGCTGTTATCAGAGAGACGTGTACATTTTGACCTGTGTTTTGAATATCAATGCCTAAACAGTCAAGTAGACTGTAATGAGATCGTACAGTTTTACTCCCTTAGCGGTAGACATTTTCTTTTTGTTTTATATCCTATACCCTATACCCTTTTAAGTTATACCCACCCTCTTTATTTTTTTATATTGATTTGTTGAAATACAACATTTTGTTGGATCACTTTAGTACCATCGGAAGTTACCTCAACCAGTTAGTGCTTGTGTACCACTTTTGGGTCTCGTATTTGCCTCCCATTTGTTAATTCATTACCATTATGATAATTCCATAGTAAGATCCTTTCGTTCGTCGACAACTCTGCAGTTATCAAGTCAAAAAAACTTTTATTGATTTAACGGCAAATATTACTTGAAACATTAACCGACTAGCCGCGAGTGCTTGCAAAACACTTGCACACGCCAATAAATAAAATGCAACCAATGATAAATTTACTAGCCGAAGTATTTCTATTAAGTGCTAATGTAATAATTAGATGCCTGTGTATCTCCTCGTATCCGTTTTCCACTCCATCGTATACTTTCGCGAAGCCATAAGCTCCGTTTTGTTTTGTATGAACTTGCTCGGTCTATTTATTTGATATTTTTCCTACAATTCAACCTCTTTTAAGGTGAGCTTATAGTATAGATGTGTCATTAACTAACCGTACGCGTTTTGTTTTTCGGAATAAGGCACGTATTTTGCAGTTGCCGAAAGTATCAAGTTCTATTACCACCGTTTTACAAGAAAATTTAAGAAATATTTAAAACACAAGTAGTTGCGTACTTAAAGCGATTTATCACCACATCATAATTATTTACTCTCAAATAAAATATTATGGTGTGTCTATGTTACGCTTCGTTTGCTGCATTCGTCAAGTTCAAAATATTAGTATCACTATAGCTCGACTCAGGCTAATAAATATGTAAAACAGGGCCTTACATTCCGAATATCCCTTTTTAAGACGAAATCACTATAATCAATCAAATAGAAAAGAGTCGAAAATTGATAGATAATTGATTGATGAACAATTGATTCTCAGGTCCCACATGACAAGTAATCGCACCAACAAGTATTTTTCGCAACAAAGAAGGAATTACTTCACTATAAAAATCAATATTTTAAAATCACACAAGCTTTGTTTTTAAGCCTAATTACGATAATTCATTTTTCTTTAACTTTTACAGTGAAACCGAATTCTGCAATTATTGATTCAGTTTGAACGTTACCAATGAAACAGGGCTATAAAAAAGTCATCACAAATATTTTTTGCAATTCCAATACAGCACTGTGATTTTCTTTAAGTCGTTAAGCTCAGAACCAATATTGTACAATAAAGTCAATACCCAATCCATGTGTAGTAAAATTCAAAATTGTCGTCCATTTTATCGTACAAAACATTTACACTAAATTTACAATCATCTGTATAGACGCGCATTTTTGTTATTGACCAACGTATGCGATTTGTTAATTAGTTTTGTTCGCATATACAGAGTGTCAATATAACTTATCGGTCACTGAATGTTAGTAGTGAAATTTATATAGGGTGTTCGAATTTAAACTAGCTTTTGAAAAACTTCACATTAAATTAAAATATTTGTGATTTTAGTGTTACATATATTATATACCAATTTAAACAAATATTTGCTAGTTTCTAATACGAAGTCAAAACAGACTCTGCTTAGATTCGTTTAAGATTCGAATTAATGCCCAGTCTTTATTTCATCTCTAATTTTAATTAATTTTTTTTAATTATTGTAATGTTTTCTTTTCATTTCTAGTCTCACCTGTGACGTATAGGTGATAAAGTTCGAGTATTAGTACAGACGTATCTAATACCCAGTGCTGATTACTATAAAATTACTATAACTTACAATTTCAATACCCTCCTTCTTCTTAAAAATTACCATTTGTCACAATAATGCATTCTCTTGATTTCTAGTCGCATTTGTGATGAATAGGTGATAAAGGATGAGTATTGGCTATCCAGGTATAAATAATCAAATCGAAAAGGTGCAATCTCAATCTCAGAAACGTTTCTCATACTCAGTCATTATTTCTCATCTTTTAGAATCGCTAATTTTGAAATGTAATTTCTTTACCCGTTTTTAAATTACTATAACTTTCATTTTCCTGGTTCTTTTTAAAAATTACCATTTGTTACCATATGTTTTAAAATCACTAATTTAGAATTTAATTTCTTTACCCGTTTTTAAATTATTATAACTTTCAATTTCAATAGTGGTTATTTCTAATTTTTGAATCTAATTTGACTTTTAGGGTCACCTGCTTCGTATTTATGGGACGCCCAGTAGATATACCAACAAAAACACCGATCGACATTTTTATTCGCAACGTTCGGTCGCCTGTCACTCTCCCGTTTTCAATTACGCGGATACACACATTCACTTTTCGCAATTCGAGTCGACGTAGAGAGGTCGAAACCATCCGCAAAAAAAATCAACCTTAAAACTTACAACAAAATCCCCGTGCCGGCCATGTTTCCTATAGTTTTCCGCTAAGATACGAGTACTTCCAGTCGGTACTTCACCGGAACTTTTCTGAAGGGGGGCTCGCGACAGAACCCTTGTTCGCGCTTCGAAGCACACGAGCTTTCGATCACAACTATCGTCGCGCGGCCGCTACGCGAGAACAAAGAAAGGAGATTTGTGCAGAGTCGTCGGGCGCTCAGCAGAAGAAACTGCGAGCGACAGACCGAAGCCAGAAGCGGCCCGAAGAGAAGAGAATTCGGCGAACGTCGGCTCGACACGGGGTTTACTTTCGCCGCGGTACGAGTCGACCGACAATAACGCTGGAAGGGCATGCGAGTAGAAAGGAACGACTATCGAGATGGTCTAGGATTTGCGAAAATTTTCATTCCATTTTTTTTCAAATTTAAAGGCCGTTTTTATACCTTCGGATATTTGCTGAGGCGGCAGTTAAACTGAGGATTTGTTCAAGGGCTAGTTTTGAAGGTTATAGGTTACTACCGCCAGTAACGCTGCAAGGGCATCTGAGAAGAAAAGAATGATCATTGAGATGGTCTAAGATTTTGCGAAAATTTTGATATCATGACTAGTCAACTGCTAGGAGTCTATCGACAGTAACGCTGGAAGGGCATTCTAGTAAAAAGGAAGGACCATCGAGAAGTTTGATTTCAATTTTCCAAATTTAACTATCCGGCCGGTATTTACTAAGGTCTCAGTTACACTCAGTTACAATGTCTAGTTTTACAGGTTATTGTCAAATGTCAAAAAGTACTGAAAATCTCCCTATGAATAATTCAAATACGAATTTAAAAAAATGTAAACATGAAACTTCGGACATTCGGTGTGGTTGTCGTAACGGCGTAGGAACCAGGGAAGATCTATTTGCATTCAACGTACATGTGTATACTTGGCTGTTTTATTATATGTACAACATGATAAGTTACTCGAAATCTAACAGGGTATTGGACGATATAAGCATTATTTTCAGCCTTTACTGGAGTCCTCTCACCACTGTTCAATATTTATTCACAACACATTTTTCGAGAATCGCTGTTAGATGATGCAGCAAGAATTATGGTCATTAGGAGACCTGTAAGCAATATTAGGTATACAGATGATACGATTCTGGTACCAAGCACCTAAGAAGGTCTGCGGAGAATGCTTAATTATGTAACCATTGTCAGTGAACTATGTGGTTAAATAAATCAGCTACAAGTAACATTTAAGTAAATATGGTAGACACATTTAGTGCAATATCAATACTTCAAAATTTAGAAATAGAGCTTAAAGGAATAATATATTTTTTCAACGAGAAATCTATTACACCATATTATCCCAATTATAAAAAAAAATTAAGAAAAATGCTTTTTTGCTCTGAAATTATTTATTTTGTTCCACTTAAGAATACATTAAATCTGTCAAAAAAAAAAAACTCGAAACATACAAAAAAATACTGGAGCGTAAACGAACCACTGGGAAAAAACATTAAATAATGCTTTGGGACATAAGACGTAACATATAACTTATATATAAATATACAAAAGAATGTTCAAATTCGACAGAAAACAACTAAAAATAGATTGTTTTCCAAATAGAACCTGAAAAACGCATAATATTTTATGGTGCGTGAGCGCACCACTGGTAACACCCGCTTTCAACGTATATTGTGTGACTGTGGCAGATTCTACATCTCCTTCGGGCTTTATTATCATGAACAATCATGAGGTGACCTTGATTATCATAACGCACTTCATCTATGGCAGGTGCAATATTTCTTTGAGTATTTGTTTCATCCGTTTTTAAAAGTCGCAAAGGCATGTAAGACTTACACTCAAATCAATCACTTCGTTATCAAAACACGTAAAAAATATTTCAAGCGGAGTTTTTCCGGAAAACCTATATTTTAGTTCCTCACATGATCTAAATTCATCGGATATAGGTGTGTGAGTGTAATCAATCAGACCTTGCATGCGTCTTCTTTTGAATTTCAGGGTTTCATCATCTGATGATTCCCATTCAGGTTCAGTAGTTGATGAATTACAAGACTGTTGAAGGACAGCTGTGTCATTCGGTGTATGTAACTCGAAAGTTCCAACTATATCAGTTGGTTCCCCAAACTCTTGTAGATTTATGTTCATTTTAAATTTGACAAGACGTCAAATGTAATTTGCCAGCACCTTTTTTGTTAGTTTTGAGACGTAACTGGAAAAATTGCAAGGAATTCTTCAAAAATTTTGAAGTATAATTTTAATTTCAGGAGACTGAAGGTTTTTTGCATTCGCATTTGATTTGACATGACAATTCTTTTTTCGCCCGTAGATGGCGGATGAACAAGGTCGAACACGCCCATTTATAACAGCATAATTGAAAAAACTGATATCAACTTGGACAAATCAGGAACTGAAACAAAAGTCAGCGCTTGTCGAAGGTCTTTTTGCGAACAATAACGACGCAGAAATGAGCAGCGATTTGAATTGGTAACGCGTTATATACGATAAATGCTTAAAGATAAGGGAGTGTCAACCGCATTCCTTCACTCATACAACGTAAATCCGTATGGAGACGAGAAGCTTAATGAAAATAATATTTAAACGAATTGGTAGATGCCAAAACCACAAGCATCGGTCGCTTGCAGGTTCGTTTGCTGATCGACTATCGGAGTCTCCAAACGTACGTCGACGCCTGTGATCTTTTTACGCGCGGGTATTATGTGCATATTGTTATGCACGCGGTATAACGCTCAAGGTTAGTCTTCGATGTGATATTTTAAACTACAATTTGTCACTATGCCGTCGGCGAAATAACATTTACACATTTAGCGAATTAATTCTGCTTCTCGGTATCGGGCGTTTCGATGCACTTTCTCTACAACAATGCAACTTTAATTTAAATTTCGCGACGACAAGAGCCAACTGAAATTTTTGAATAAATCTTAAGCGCCACCAAGATGACGCAAGACTTACGCGTCGCCATATCGGCCATTTTAGTTATCGCTTTATGCAAACAACGGTTACTTAGTCGATAAATATTTAATTGTAGGAATTGCAGCGTCAAATATTGCGTAGTGATGATTTTACTTATATTGTGTGTGTTGTTCAATTCTACTAAGCAACTTTGCTGGAGATATGGAAAAGAAGAATTATATGGACTCCTGTGGTTTTCATTACAATGACAATCGGGACAGAATCAAAAATTTGCAGCAGTTGAACAGTTTTACAATTTGATTCTACAATTAAACTTAATTATTGAAAAAAAGAATTCACACGAATGTTGATTTTTATAACGATGATCTTGCGAATGCTAGATCTTATTACCTACTTGTTGCAACAACAAAACTAAATTGTTGCATACCGATACGTTAGTGAGCGAAGTGACTGTAGTTCAAAGTTATCGCTTGTAATGAAAATAATGATTTACGGTTTTTAAAAGAAAAAATACCGAAAGAAATTTTAATGGGCATTGTACCGGAAAGTAATGGCGTTGTCCGTCGCGTTCATTGCTTCAGCATCTAGTTACTTACGTACCGATCGATCCGGATGTTTTAAGTGATTTTCAAGTGACATTTAAGCGTGCAGCATTCCGGGAATGTCGTGATTATATTTTCATTATCCAAATTACGGTAATGCTGAATAAGCGGGGACATTTAGGTTTGTTCTTTTGTGTATATAGGAGTGTCCCAAGGTGGCGTGGAACTTGAGGAACGGTCTCCTTGATCTAAAATTAAATTAGGAAGCCTACGAGTAGCGCTGAACAAAATTACAGTACCACAAAAAATATTTAATATGCTGATGGCGACGTTCATTTAACATATGGTTCATTGTTTGTCAAATGTCAAAATGGCTTTGGAAACAAAAGTACTTATAATATATTTCTAAACCTCAAACTTCAATTCAACTTACAGACTTATTAACTTAAAAAAGTAGTTAAAAGCAAACTTCCTGTTTGGTATTTATATATGGCGTAAGACAAAAAACAAGGGGTTTTACATGCCCTAAAAGAAGTAGGATGGCTTCATAAAATATTTAAAAAAAGATACTTTAATGTTAACATATTTTCAAAATGTAAATATGTTTCAAGATGGTGCGACAATGCGGTTTCTTTTCACTGTTTTAGTTTTTTTAAAGGCCCCCAAAAGATAAATTTTAAGTGTCCTCCTCTTAAGCACTCATCAGCACCCAGATTGCACTTTTGGGAGACTGCCCTTATGAACTTTTAAACCTTTTCAAGGAAACTTCCACAGGCTACTGTAATACTGTGTTCAAAACTTCTTCGCATGGGGAATTCAGAAGTTTTGTAAATAGTGGCTTTTAATCCTATTATATATGATATTTACTGTTTTCCATTTGTCAGTTTAAAATATTGTTATTATTATTATTATTATTGATCGACATATTCTAGGAAGGCCGCTCTGTGATTCCGACTTCACAAAAACGACGTTTTGGTTTATTATTATTATTATTATTATTATCGGTCTTAGATTTCTCTGCTTTGCAGGTATTGAGAGCTTCCTCCTCTCCTGCTTCACCGAAACCCAAAAATTTTCGAACAATTTCACATGCCTGGAGTATTATAGCTTTTTGTGATGCATTCTGCATGTCTGTTTATCCAGATTTTCCTTGAACAGTTTCCCTCCGTTGACACAACATATGGAAATATGTTTACTTCGTTAAGACGCCAGATTTGTTCTAGCTGGATAGCCAGGTCTTCATATTTTCGAACTTTCTCAGCTTCCGTAGATCTCAAATCGTGGATCAATATTTGTGAAAATGTAGGCGTATCTCATTTCAAGCCCAGTGGATGATGTCTGATTTTTACCAGTTGATTGTGCCGTTTTGTGTTCTATTGATTCTCCAGGATTGCTACATGTTTTAAATAATTTCTAGTTCTATTTATGTGTTGTGTCTGGCAAATGCGTAAAACTGAAGGATGAGTATTTTTGAAAACGAACATACAATTGTTTAAGCGTTAAAAAATACATCCAGAGTTGTTCAAATGCTTTAGGGTGGAGATATTTAAATCTCAGTTTGGTAATACGTAATTTTTTTGTAGCTATACTGCATTCCGATGTATAAGAGATAGTTGAGTTCTAAGGGAATTATCGAAATATCTATTTTTTTTGGCAAAACTTATGAGACATGCGCTAAGAATGCTGAATACCACGTCAGTCGGGGTGTGTTCTTCGAATTATCAACTTACTCGTTCTAAGACAGTGGGTAGAGAAGATCCTATAAAACG